CAGGCCCCTCATCATCCTCACTCCCACAGCGCTGGCCCCCAGTGAGGACCCTGTGAAGGGCGCCTGTGTGGGGTGTGAGCCACCTGAAGGAACTTTCTCTGCCTCACAGGGGTCAGTAGCACCTGGAGAACAGCAGCAGGAGGTGACGTGAGAGCAGCCGCCCACGGGCAGAGCCGCGCTTGGGAAACTCCCGCTGCTACCCCATCCCCAGGCAGCCTAAGGCAGGGGAGGCTCAGCATGGAATGAAATAAGGGAGGGAGGGACACAAGGAGGTGGGAGGTGGGAGGTGGGAGGGCCCCAGCCCCACCAGCTACACAGACCCCCTCATCACCCTGGACACCACAGGGGCACCTGCAGGCTGGGAGAGCAGGTCCTCCGTGCATGGGCCCGGGAGGCAGACCTGCCCTAAGGGTGATGTGAAGGCTACATGGCCGCACGTGCCAGCCTTCTGCTTTAGCCATCAGCCTCCAGGTTGACTAAGGGTCAGGCCAGGACTGAACCCGTGCTCGACAGGCCCAGGACCTGTGGCTACAGCACCCGGGCGCCCTCATTCAGCCCTGGTCTGCAGAAAGGAGGACAGCGGAGTTTGGGACCCCACCGCACGGCAGTGCTGACCATTTCACCCTCTCGGTCTCCTGGAGGAATAGGGACGGCAAGCCCTCCGGGAACGGGCGAGGGCTTCAGGACAGGCTGGGTTCTGGCTGCTGCTTTCTCAGGTTGGTTAAAATGCTGACCATGGCAGAGGTGGCACAGCTCGGGTTCCCACACCTCACTTTTCACAGCCCCCAAGGGCAGCAATGGACGAGTAGATGCCTCCCAGGACGCCAGGGCCTCCAGTGCTCACCAATGCCCTCAGCGAAGTTGGGGTAGAACTCATCAGTGAAGAGGGGCTCAGGCAGCTCACGGAAGTAGAGCTTCAGCGTGCCTGCGATGGCGTTCACGTCCCTCTCGCTCATCATCACCGACACGTCCTTGTTATCTGGAAAGAGAACGGAAGTGCTGCAGCCTCCTTGAGGATCCCCAGTGCGTCTCCTGCCATGCCTGCCTTGGCTAAAGCACCGTCCCTGCCGCGCTGACCACTGTGCGGGACCCTCCCCTGCTGTGAGCAGCTTATCTTACTCCTCCCAAGAGCTGCATGTGGTTCTGTCTGTGCAGCGTTGATGCAGGGGTGTGTGCATCCCCGGACCTCTCCCCTGCTTGGCCTGACGTGATGGCCAGGAGGAGCACAGTGTGGCAGGACACAGAACCTGCGTGGGAATCGGGGACTCCGCCCTGTATAGCACCACCCCTGCTCCCGTGTCTTCTGATAGCAGGAAGGCTGTGGGAGCGTCTGATGGGTTTCAGTGTTTGACCTGGTGTCTTGTCTTTGGACCCAGTTAGCCACTGGTGCTTACGTCCCCACCAGAGGCCAGGTCCATTCTGGAGCCCCAGAGGGAGCTGAAACTACCCCAGGGCCCACCCAAGGGTGATGGGCATTCTGGAGGTCCCAGTAAGGGTGGATGGTGAGTGCCCCAGAGAAAGGTCTGCAGGCACAAAGTCCTGTTGCTGTGATGATGCTGGGCAAGGACCCTCTGGGGTCTCAGTGCCCTCCCCTGGCATTTGGGGAGGTCCTTCATAGCCTGTGAGGGTTGGTGAGATGGAGGCGGAGATGCTGCTGCCCCGGCCTGAGCTGGGTCCATCAGTGCCCTCTGCCCGCCGCATCCTCACACAGGGCAGTGGACAGAACACACTGAGTCCTGGGCTTCGCAAGTCCTGCCCACCCCCATGGCAGGAAGGCCAAGGCCCCGCAGAAGCCCCTAGCCAACCTTCAAGCAGCATGGGTGGGTAGGTGGTTTAAAAACTGGCTTCTATGGGCTGGGTGTGGTGGCTTACGCCTGTAATCCCAGCACTTTGGGAGGCTGAGGTGGGTGGATCACGAGGTCAGGAGTTGGAGACCAGCCTGACCAACATGGTGAAACCCCGTCTCTACTAAAAATACAACAATTAGCCAGGCTTGCTAGCACCCCTGTATTCCCAGCTATTTGGGAGGCTGAGGCAGGAGAATCACTTGAACCTGGGAGGCGGAGGTTGCAGTGAGGTGAGATTGTGTCATTGCACTCCTGCCCGGGTCACAGAGTGAGACTCCATCATAAAAAAACAAAAACAAAAACAAACAAAATCAAAAAACTGGCTTTTACAGAAGCTCCTTCTACAACTCTTGTCTTGTCTTTCTTAAAAACCATAGAACAGTAAATGAAGAAAAGACACAGAGAAGGCTGTGACATGCCCGGGCCGTGGAGCGCTGTGAGATCTCATCATGGACACTGCCGCCCACACCCCCTCCGCCCTGCCCAGGCCGACACTCACTGACGTCGAAGGCTGCCTTCAGCGCCTGGATGTCGGTGGCCACTCCGGACACGCGGTAGATGCCCACCTCCTCCATGCCGCGGCGCTCAATCTCCTCCACGCACTGGCGCACGACGTAGGGCACCTTGGACCTCTCTCTCCTGCGGGAGGAGGGCGTGTTCTCCGTGTCCTGGCAGCCCCGCTTGGGCTGTGGCACAGGAGACCTGCCCCGTATCTGCACACCTGAAGCTGGGGTGAGGATGGTCAGGAAGGTGCCCAGGTCTGGGGCTGCACCAGAGCCTTGTGCGTGCCTGTCCTCCCTCTGCCAGCTCAGTCCTCATTGCGTGCACTTCCTCAGGACCTTTCTAAGAGGCTGAAGCAGCCAGAACCCCTGCGAGTCACACGTGGTCTTTGGGGGAAGGCCAGGAGGCCTGTCTAATAAAGTCAGCACAGAAAAGGCATCTGGAAGATTCCAGGCCTGGGGTTAGCAGCCTGTGCTCCAAGCTGGGACATCAGACCCAGTGTTGGTCCTGACACCCACGTGCTGTGCGAGAGGAGAATCTCTGACCCCTGACCCCTGCTGCTGGCCTTAAACATCACACGAATGAATGAAGGGTTGCCTCAGCACCAGAGCTCCAAGTACTGCAATGCTAAGTGCTTTCTTCCTGAGTCTTAGCAGTGAACAATTCCAATACCGCCTGCCACACAGGACACTAGAGTACGAATATTTCAAAGTTAGAAGGCAGTGTTGTGCTGAGGCCTTAATTTTTTAAGTTTGGGTTTTCAACTGGATTTAGGAGCACATCAAAGCTGCCTCTCAAGCCACCCTCTTTAGCAGTGCTCATTTGGGGAAACTGCTGATGGAGTCCTCGCTGCTCATGCCCAGAGCTCTCCCAGAGTGCCACCAAGTGGCTGCCATACAGCTGGGGGTAGGAGTGGCGTTTACACACAGAAAGGTGTCCCGGGTGTGACTGATGGAGGCCCCGGCCCACATGACCGGCAAGGTCAGGGGCCCAGCCGGATTCCATCCGGGGGAAGCAAATGAATTCTCGGAGGAATTCATGTACTTTCAGCTGCTCTCAAACCCACAAACAGGCTTCTCCTGGCACTGACTCGTGACAAAGGGGCAGGGGTTATGACCATTCAACAGGAACCCGGGACCATGACAAATTCCAAGCGAGGGCAGAAACCCTGCACTCGGGCAGTTCCTGGAGCCAGCCTACTGCTTCCAAGCAAGGCGGCAAGGACGTTCCTGAGCTGGTGTGGAGTAAACACCGGAGGGAGCTGAGCACACCGACTGCTCCCTGGGCCTGACCTCACCATGCAGCCACCACGCACAGAGAAGGGAGACCCACACACAGAGCTGAAGGGACGGGCGCCCTCAGTGCATGAGCCCAAGCCCCTCCCCACTCACTTGGTGACCACGGCGATCTTGACTCCGAAGACCCCTGTCTGTTTTCGGGATGGCATCCTCTTCAAGCTGAACTCCCGGCTGGTGAACTTGACCGAGAGCTTTACTTCAATCTACAGTGGGGAGAAGGGGCACAGTCCTCTAACCCTCCTGGTCCTCACATCCGAGGTCCCGAGGGCCCCTGGGGATCTTGTCAAATATTTCAAAGCTCAAGGCATGCAGAGGTCTCAGTGTGAGGTGGGGCCACTGCTAGGGGAAGCCTCTAGTCTACTTCAGCAAGGGCCGGGACTGTTAAAGGAGGCGTCAAGGACTGGCTTCCGCAGAGCCGCCTCCTACAATCCCCGTTGCTTGAACCCAGGAGGCGGAGGTTATGGTGAGCTTAGATCACGCTACTTCACTCCAGCCTGGGCTACAGAGAGACTTCATCTCAATAAAAAAAAAAATATATATATATATATATGTGGAAGATAAAGACTCTCTGTTCTTTGCAATGTTTGCTGGACTTGTCTATAAAATCATCTGGGCCTGGTGTTTTTCTTTGGTTTTGTTTTTTGTGAGATTCTTGAGGGGATGGGGTACAGATGATTTTAAAATAAATATTCAGTTTTTTTTTTTCTTCTTCTGTTTTTTTTTTTTTTTTTTTTTTGAGACGGAATTTCGCTCTTGTTACCCACTCCAGAGTGCAATGGCAGGATCTTGGCTCACTGCAATTTCTGTCTCCTGAGTTGGAGCAATTCTCCTGCCTCGACCTCCTGAGTAGCTGGGATTACAGGCATGTGCCACCATGCCTGGCTAATTTTGTATTTTTAGTAGAGACGGGGTTTCTCCGTGTTTGTCAAGCTGGTCTCAAACTCCCGACTTCAGGTGATCCACCCGTCTCCGCCTCCCAAAGTGCTGAGATTACAGGCATGAGCCACCGCGCCCAGCCTCAATTTCTTTAATGGTTCTAGATGTTGACTTTTCTGTTTCTTCCTAGTTCATTTTTATGAAGTTATATTTTTCTTTTGAAACAGTTTCTCTGTTGCCCAGGCTAGATTGCAGTCACTTGATCTCGGCTTTCTGCAACCTCTGCCTCCCAGGTTCAAGTGATTTTCCCTTCTCAGCCTCCTGAGTAGCTGGGATTACAGGCATGGGTCGCCAGGCCTGGCTAATTTTTGTGCTTTGAGTAGAGTTGGCGTTTTACCATGTCGGCCAGGCTGGACTCGAACTCCTGTCCTCGGATGATCCACCTGCCTTGGCCTCCCAAAGATCTGGGATTACAGGCGTGAGCCACCCCACCCAGACTGAAGTTGTATTTTTTTATAAAATGGTCTGTTTTGATATTTTCACAAATAGCTGGCATATAGTTGTTTATGTAATTTCCTTATGATTTTTGTCTTAACATTATTTTTATTTTTTATTTTTTTGAGACTGAGTCTTGCTCTATTGCCCAGGCTGGAGTCCAGTGGCCTGATCTCGGCTCACTACAACCTCTGCCTCCTGAGTTTAGGGGAATCTTGTGCCTCAGCCTCCCGAGCAGCTGGGATTACAGGTGCCTGCCACCTTGCCCAGCTAATTTTTGTAAGTTTGGTAGAGACAGAGTTTCACCATGTTGGCCAGGCTGGTCTCAAGCTCCTGACCTCCAGTGATCCGCCAGTCTCGGCCTCCCAAAGTGCTGGGATCACAGGCGAGAGCCACCACACCCAGCCCATTCATTTCCGAACAGACAATACATTTGTGAAACCCCATCTCTACTAAAAACACCAAATTCACAGGCATGGTGGTGCACCCTTTAATCCCAGGTACTCAGCAGGCCAAGACAGGAGAATCGCTGGAACCCGGGAGGCAGAGGTTACAAGGACCTGAGATCACGCCATTGCACTCCAGCCTGGGCAACAAGAGCAAAACTTTGTCTCGAAAAAACAAAAACGAAAAACCAGAATAGCCAGCAACCCATAACAGCACGCGTTTTATAGATGAGAAACCTGGGATGCAAAGACACAGCTAGTGAATGATGGAATCAGGATTCAAATTCAGGCTGCCTAGTCATGAGGACCATATTCAGAGAATTAAAGGAAATTGTTTTGTTTTGATTTTTTTTCTTCAACTTTTAAGTTCCAGGGTGTGCGTGCAGGACGTGCAGGTTCTTTACATAGATGAACGTGTACCATGGTGGTTTGCTGCACAGACCAACCCATCACTTAGGTATTTAGCCCAGCATCCATTAGCTGTCCTTCCTGATGCTTTCCCTCCCCCCAGCCCCACCCCTCGACAAGCCCCAGTGTGTGTTGTTTCCCCGAAATGTGTCCATGTGTTTTCATCATTCAGCTCCCACTTATAAGTGAAAACAGGCAGTGTTTAGTTTTCTGTTCCTGCATTAGTTTGCTGAGGATAATGACTTCTAGCTTCATTCATGTCCTTGCAAAAGACATGAACTTGTTTCTCTTTTTTTTTTTTTTCTTTTTTGTGACAGAG